GACGAAAACGGAAGATCTAAGTTTTGGCTAAAATGTCGTTTACTTTCCCATTGATTTACATTTGCGAGGGAGTACTCGTTTATTGGCAATCGCCATGAAGGGGAGTGTTCTATTATTCGACGAAGATACCAGCTTCATGAAACGACTCAACTTTTTTGAAAGCGCAGCGTTAGCTGTGGATAGGATCGCAATGTCTTTCTTCTTTTATTTCCACCTCATCACTGTTATACTGCCTCGATTCTCTAACGCTACCAACTGTCCAGTGTTTAGCTTCCAATGAATGACTTGTTTTGAAAGACCGTTCTGTTTTTCCTGGAGCTGTTGAGATCTCCTCAATGAGTCTTCGGCAAAAAAAGCTCTGTACCAACTACCGTTGTCGAGAAGCATTTCTTTCAAAATCAGATATGAGCTTCAAAGCCACATAGCGAACCAAGTCTCCGTTTAAGGACTGATCGCTTCAAGTATACACTACAATTCTGTAGTTTCGGGTACCTCCCCTGCACGCCCTGAATAACTTAAGTCTGTACTTGCACTTCTTATTTGGGGTAAACTGGAAAAGACATCTCTACCTTTAAGCAAAGCCATGGATCCGTCAATATTTAACTAGTTTCCAGCATTGTATATTGTGCTATAGTTTCTCTTGATAATTATCTGTGAATTACCGGCTTAATCATGTAGAACTTCTGCGACAGTAAGGCACGAAAATGTAGAATTCGCGGTCAACTAATCCTATCGATACATTAGTTGAACAACGTCCATCTTGAGGCAGGGGCCAATAGGTTTTTTCATTTGCTCAACAATTGCTGCTTCTCATGACACATCATTCTGTAGAGTATACCTGCTGGTATTTTACGTGACCAGTTGCTCTTAAACGTCGACCATCAGTAGTTTATGAAAACCGCTCGGTATTGTGCATCGACCTGCTAAGTGTTCATTTATCTCCACCTTGCTTTCTTCAAAGAGAAAAAGGCCGCGGAGCTCTACATCATCTGACCACTGATTGCTGATATAATCAACGAGTTCATTTTCTCTCTCCGACTCGTTTCTTTTCTGAATGCTCTCTTCTCATCTTCAACCTCCTCACTGACAGTATCGATTAGAAGTCCACTGAGATCGAAGATAAAGTCGTCGAAAACCATATAGTGAGAGAAACGAGTGAGAGAGCGTGAGAAACGAAAAGCAGAGAGCTACGAAGGAATGATGATAACCTCTCAGAAAAGTAGGCCCTTATATGCAGGATTTCTAGGAAATTTCCTCAAGGGTCATAAAATTATGAATGTGGTTTCTCTGCTGAAATAAACGAAATTCCGACCATTTATAGAGCCTGTTAATTTTTAACCTATTGACCTATCAGCACTTCAAATTAACATGAGCCCCAAAGCACTTACACCTTTCAATAAGGCAGCCCAACTCAGAGTGAACTTCGTCAATCGAAACGAGAAAACCATCAAAACCTACTACAGATATTGGCCAGTACAATGCAAATTTTCTTCATCGAAAGTGATTAAAAGTAGATCTTTTATAAGAGTTTAGTTTTAAAAAATAGCATGTCTGGTTAGTAAGTCCTCTAGTTAGTAAAAATTACTAACTTGGACATTTGGATGATCGGTCTTCATTGGTTGTACGGTCCCCAGCAAAATTCCCATTGTTTCGGAGTTTTGCTAGTCTAGTTAGTGAGGTTCCCTGTAGTCCCGAGGTCAGCCAGGCCATAGTCTGCCCCAGGTCGTTACCACGACAGGCAGTCGCAGCTCTTGTGGATCAGAGGGAGATTTGCCACCATGCGACTAGTTTGATACCATAACGGTGGTGGATCCTAGTACTGGTTTGCTCTTGGCTGAGCTTCCTGGTAGACTTTTTCTCAGAATGGGAGGCGCTGTTGAACGGATGAATACCACCACTGTACATCGTATCCCGACACCCAGGAATATCTCCCAGCCACGATGAGGCAGTAAACCGTTGGGAGAGTTAGCGAAAATCATCGAGAACTATTACAAAACAGTCGCAATGGTTTATGTAGGGCATAAAAAATTCAATTTTTGACCAGCAGCTCACCGCTTTTATTTTGGCTCCCGATTATCGTACGGAATGGTTGTTTACAAGAAATACCGAAATACCTTCAGTCTAAGTTGCAAAATGCTGCCAAATTCTGACAGCAATTTGTAGTCGAATAGCATGACTCTAGGTGGAACTGTAGCTGTCGAAGGACTCTCGTTTGTTGTTGAAAAACCCAGCATTTGGCGCGTGTAGATCCCGTAGGAGTTTTTTGGCCTCGTCGAAAACAACAGTGATCATATAGATGTTAAAGAAGCACTATGCCAAAAGCAACCAATATGACCCAGTAACTTTCGAGGCTTCATGGAGATGCTTGGTAGTCAAGAAGTTATCAATTGACGAAACGAAGCAAAAAATACATCAAGAATATCCTTCTAGGATATTCTTCGTATTTTTGTTGAGCAAACGCGAGGTGTTACTATTCTTTCTTCACGATTAAGCTGACTTTTCGGCGAATTTCGCCTTCTTCAGAGCCTGGAAAGGTCAAGCTGATAGCAACTCACTCGGCCAGACGCCTCCATAACCAAACAAAGAAACTCCAAACCAAGATTTCAATCACTTTGAACACAGCTTTGCACACTCACCGCTTTCTATGAGGTTTCCACTAAGTATGTCACGTAGAGACCAACCGCACAGAAATCACGTGGAAGTATAATGTGCCCCTCACATCAGAAAAGCAGTTTTATATACTGCCCTATATCACGCGTGATAATGAGGCATTCTTCCCTGCGGTTCATTTTCGGATTTCTGGAATTAATCCAGAGTGCCTCGAGAGTTCTTCGCGCCTGTGTTCTTGATTCGCGTGCGAGGATCGTGACACATACTTCGAAGTCGTCCCCGTTATGTCTCCGGGTCCTATGCGTGCCTAGCGGGGTATTTGGTCTATTTTTGCCGGCTAGGTGTTCTTTCATGCGGACACAGAGGGGTCTACCCGTTTCGCCAATGTATTCGTCACCACACGTCTTACAGGAGATCAGATAAACTATACCCGAGCTCATTCAATCACCGTCTCTACCACTGGGGCAAATTATGCAATTTTGAGTTGCACATAGACGGTCATATAGGCGGTTACGAACTAGCTGGCGCTTAAGATTACTCGGTGGTATTTCAACTACGCGTACCGAATTCTCTAAACCCGCCCTTCTTAAGCAGCGTTTTATAGCTGTACTTATATCATTTGAGATGAAGGGTAGGATAAACGGGACCCTTCTATCGCTAGAGTTGTCGTTTGGAGGCCTACGATTTCCTCTACACCTATCCTGAGCTACAGTTTCGTAGCCATTAGAAACGGCTATTTGCCGTGCCAAGTTCCGGGACTCCTCTCTCTGCTCTCTTCCCGTGCACACGTTGGTTGCTGTTCGAAACATGTTTCTTATAAGCGCCCTTTTCGTGTGAGAGGGGTGAGAGGAGAGGTAATGAACCAAGATATTTTTACTACTTGGCTTTCGGTACCACTTTGTAATGTAGCCATTTTCTGATAGGTGAATTTGTACGTTTAAAAATGGAAGTAAAAATGGATAGTCTGACGTGAAATTAGGCAATAATTAAGCCGATGGCGTGCCTCCTCGCTAGTATACTTTAGGAATGAGCAAGTTCTCTTTAGATTGAAAGGTTTGAAACCATAGAAAAATAGATAACATGCAAATGCTTAAAAACTACATTCTTCGTAGATAAGAAAATTGAGTACTTGTTACCTCTGGCTTTGGAGAAACAATACACAAAAATTTTTTACTTTACATGACCCGTCACCATATCAACTGTACGGCTCACAGCACTTCTTGCACTTGATTCGTTTTCCTCGTATTCATTGTCCACAAAAGTGTCCCAACACTTCGCCTGTTGCTTCAGCTGCTGCCTCAGGAGTTCGTCTTCTTAATGAATGTCGTAGAATGCTCGCCGAGTCGTTCCCCAATGCAATCTTGGAGATAGCTGGGCTAAACTGGAGTGGTGGGGAGGGATCGAACTAGCACCTTTGCTTCCTGATCGACCCAATGAACCACTGCGCTGCTACTCCACTCCAGTAGATGGGTACGGTTATTTTGTAAAATGGCAGAACGGGATTTCTTGAATTGTTGGTGGGTGGACCTGAGATCTTCTATGCAATGTTCAGAGGATCGAGGCTTTCTTAAATTCTGATACGTTGCAATGGAAAATCAAAAAATTGAATGGAAAAACTAGAGATTAAATAAGCACGCCAAAGCAATTTCAATAGATATTCAATCCTAATATTATTAACCTCTACGCGCGTGCGGCGCTGTGGTCGTGGGCGCCCTGCAATGAACATGGGATAGATTCCAGTACCCCTGGTCCACCAAGCCTTCCATCCCTTCTGGGTGAGCAAATTCGTACCAGATTTGTCTGGGAGGACAGCGGCACTGGCGCAATACATCGGTACGTCACCGCGAGTCATTGTAAAGGTTAGATATGCATTCAGTCACGATGCTTAATGAAAGCAAATGCGTAGCACATCCCTCAGCGATTAATCAACGCCGAGAGCTTTTAGATTTTTAACATTAACCTGATATAGCGTTTCTTTCGATGTTCCGTATTTCTACCACCAGCGATACTGAGATCAAGCACTACTGCGCTTTCTTGCGCTGCAATCTTTGAAATGCTGTTGGTCATGCTCTTGAAGGATTTTTTCTAGTTGTCAAATAAGGAATGTTTTTCCTCCACTCCTCGCGATTTTTTTCTCCAAATAGCGGGGGTGAGTTCGATTTATTTGCTGAAAACTAGTGGAATTCCGCTTCATCAAGTTCTATTTCCAGCATGGCGAAAATCGTATGTACAATAATCAGCTTAGTCATGTTGAAAGTTCTAACGCAAAACCATGTTTTTCCCTAAAAATCCGACATTCCATTGAAAATGATAGGGCTCGCTGGTCAAAAATACCAGCGCTCAGCTATCGTTCGAATGCGATCCCAATGAAGAAACGACATAAAACTGGACTATGTCTCCAATGGAAGTCGTGCTACTTGAGGAACCATGGCATTGATAGACACATGGGATTCGCTCCGGACGTTCGGTGGCGGTGCTGACGGCACACCGCGACGAGGATGAAACGCCGACGCCGGCGCAACGAAAGGAGAAGCTTCTGCTCGAAGCCAGCAGTTCTGACGTGCCGTAGATGGCATACAACCGAAAATTAAAGCCGGAATTAACTAAAGGCATCAACTTCCTATACCTCTCTCTAAATAAAAAGATTGAGATTCTTAAAAAAAGAATGAATAAAAGACTCTTCAGAGATTGACCAACACCTAGAGTTCTATCCGTTTTATTCTAGGATGAACCGTGAGTCACTAATGATAAATAAATACCATATGATGAAAATTTAGTATTTATTGAAGTGAGACACAGACATCTACATTCAGACAATGAGATAGCTAGTTTAAGAGGGAGGGAGATGGTGAACTTAGAGCGTTCGAATGTTGAGAGGGAAAAAAGGGTTAGAAAAGAAACAAATTCAAATGCAAACCCACCTTTTTACCCTGAAATGCTCTGGATAATAATTCGCATTAAAAACTTCAAGTATTTGCCAAAAAAGTAGTGAAATACTATTAACCTGATGTCCACTGCTAGGTTATCCGTGTCCAGACGTAGAAGTTCCCTTTATCGATTTGTTGGACGTACGTCGTCATCGTAGTCCTCGCAGCCAGATTCAAGAAACTCCGATGATCAAACCAGAGGCAGACCACCAAATGGCCAGGATGGCCTTGTTTTGGAATTTTGGCACAATTTTGGACTTAGGAATTGCGCCGGAAGTTCATCGAGGTCCAACCACTGAGCCGGCACTTGCCAGTTGTCATGTAGTAACCACTTCTCGTTGCACGTCGCATGTAGTCGAATTCGCCATGACGAAATTCTCTCGACCATCGTTGCACCGTGCGTTAGTTAACACTTCCATGTCCCCATACCTTATTAATGCTTCTTCTCGTACGACATGCGTACATGCAAGTTCGAATTCGTAGAAAGAGAAATTATTATCCAGAGATCTCATTACTCCCAATGGTTTGCAGCCTCATCGTGGGTGGAAGGTGTTCCTGTGTGTCGGGCTGCGATGTACAGCGTGGGATTCATCCTCCCGGCAGGGTTCCCCAAGCTGAGGAGGAGCCCGGTGTTTTCATCAAGAAGAAAGAGTAAGCCAATATCAGGATCCACCACCGTCCTGGTATCAAACTGGTCATGTGGTGGCAAGTATCCCCCCGATCCACAAGGTCGGCGAGTGCCTGCGGTAGTGAAGACCTGGGGCAGACATCGGCCTGGCTGACCTCTCGTGAAACACAATAGCTAAACCAGCAAAACTCCAAAAAGTGGAGAATACGCTGGGGCCGCACAATCAGTGAAGACGGACCGTCCAAGTATCCACGTTAGTAAGCAGACATTTAATTTCTTAATCGGTAAAATTTGTCAAAAATAGACACATTGTCCTTTAACTGCACCGAGCGAAAGCACGTGAACTAAGCCTCGCTTTGATGTGCAATAGTACAGCATTTAAAGAAAAATATGTTACTAAAACATAAAGAGTAAAAGCATAAAGCTCTCTGAGTGGTTTAACCCGTGAGGAATGTGGAATGCATTCGACTTCACCAAGCATCGTTAGAGGTGACTGCATGTATATCTGGCTTATACCTCCTCCAAAACAAGGGCTTGATGTGCCCGAGGCTCGAGACTGAACTCAAGGTTGCATGAGTGCGCTGCAAGGCACCTCTAACCACTGCGCTACATGCGTGCCGTTGTTAAAACATACACCTTGAATAGCAGAGTTACAAAGCGGATATTAATTTTCGAGGAACCTAATACGTTCTATAGAATCGTTGGTACAAGTCTCCTCAATGCTTTATCACCGCTTCGTTGTAACCTGCGTTTAAGCATTGAACTTCATTGTACAAGTACAGGAGAAACAAAACCATAATGAAGCTGGGATATAAGCAGAACTCGGAGCATCAGGTAGGCTTCGAACCCGACAGCAGAAATACTTTATTACTCACCTAAGCAGCGACAATATTTCGCAACAGGACAAATCAAACCAACCGATTTTCCTAAAAACCCTCCTCGTAGAATTCGATGTGTTCTTAACCAGACTTATGAACTGAAATCAGTTCGTCTCCTTGCAACTATTTTAAGCCGGGCATTCTGGGGGTGGTGGACTCCGTAAGTAGCCTAGAGGATGGACTATCTCCTTTACATCGCAGATGGCACACTCAAAAAATCCGTTGTGGGTCATAATGTTAAGGACTCAACTGCTGGCCCCTTAAAGGCGCTATTCTAATAAATTTCAAATAGGTGTTAAACAATCGCATGGTCTCGACCGCACGAGTTAACTTGCAGATTCCGCGCTCCAACATTAGCGCACGTTTGTCCCCTGTCAACCCTTTAGAGCACGCCTCTACGCTTGGTGAATATTTTTCCGAATACTCAGCCACTGGGCGTTGTTGCTTGCTTTCGCTTCTGTCCATTCTGTTCACTTGGCAGAATTTTCGATCGAGGTGACCCATGTCGAGTGATGAAAGTGATGGCGACTATCAGGAGCAGCGGGACGAGGAGGACGAGGAGGTATTTTCGTTGGTTTCGGGACTCGCTCAGTTTCAGTACGCTTCATATAGAAAGGTGTAATTCCTTAGGTGAACAGCCTATCTGGTTCAGGAGATGCTTCAGAAAGTGAAAATGAAACTTCTAAGAAGAAAAGTAGAAAAAGAAAGGTATGGTGATTGCCGTTGTAGTTTTTATGAATGCTCTTTGATGTGTCATGAAGTGGCGCCGCATCCATTGTTTCCAGTCTCCGTGTGTTTTGTTTAGGTGGACTCAGAGAGTGAAGAGGAGTCTGATGGTGACAGTGGGAACAACTCAGAAAACTCTCCGAAAAGGTCAAAAAAGTCAAAGAAGCGACGGGTGAGTGGTGTATGGTTCTTCGTTCGTCTTCTAGACATGCTGCTGTATTTGTTTTCTAATAAACAAATGTTTTATGTTGTTCTACATGGACTGTCAAAACCTTTATGATGCAGGCACCATCAATGTGGGCATTCGGGGACCATTTGGTCATATTGAACAAAATCCTACGTTTAGGTGGCTCCGTTGCTAGAGAGGCGAGCCAAGTAATAAGAAAGTTGAAAAGAAATCTCGGATTTTGGAGGCGAAGCGTATTGTACTAAGAGAATAACTAAACTAGTTTCTTTTTGGCAGTGATCTTTGGAATTCCAAGGCTTCTAATCCAAGCGTTTCAATCACAATTAAGTTTACTTTGAGTTAGAATGTTTATATGTTGTGTTGTGTTGTTAGTGTGTTGTGTTTATGTGTTGTTAGTGTATGGACCATCCCGTTGGGTACTCTTCAACACAGTTTTGGTTTTTTTAATTCGGTAACTTAATTTTTTTTAAATTTTAGAAGGATCGTCGACCACGTGGGTCAGATTTTATTCTGCAAGATGTCGACGTTGATGACGAAGAACAGGATGAGGACGATTGGGAAGATGAAGAGGATCGTGCTCTTGAGCCAAATGAAAAAGAAGAGGTTTGCTTATTTTTGAGAATTCGTGGCAGTTGTTCAGAATTAGTGTTTTTAGGCCGAAAAGTATATGAAGCAGCTGGATGCAGAGCGAAGACGTAATGAAAGAAACAAATTTGCGTGAGTTTTAGAGTACCCATTTGTCTTTCTGGCGCATTGTTTTCTCCCTTTAGGAATATGAACGAAGATGAAATTGGCCGGTATTTCGAAAACAAGTATAAAGCCCAACCGATAAGGGATCTTGTTGAGGATGACTCTGCTCTTGGTACGTTCGTTCTTAGTTATTTACTTAGATGCTTGGGTGGACCGTCTTCACTGGTTGTGCGGTCCCCAACATAAATTCCGTTTTTTTTTTGGCGTTTTGTTGGTTTAGCCATTGTGGTTCCCTGGAGACCTGAGGGAAGTCTGGCCAAAGTCTACCCCATTGTTCTTAGTTAATAATAACAAAAATAATCTCGCATATTTTAGACGATATTTCTCGACATGGATTGCTTCCATCAACGAAAGATCCTAATCTATGGATCGTGAAGTGTAGAATGGGGGAGGAAAAGTTGGTGGCGTTGCAGCTCATGCGAAAATTCTTGGCCTTCGAGAATACCAATGAGGTTCGTTCTGTTAGTAATCATTTCTGCCGTTTCTGTACCTATCCTTCCTATCATTTCTGTTTTACGTTCAGTTTGCTAATTCGTGCCTTTTTCAGCCTCTTCAAATCAAGTCGGTAGTGGTGAAAGAGGGTCTGAAAGGCATAATCTACGTCGAGGCGTTTAAGCAATCTCATGTTGCAAACGCCATTAACGGCGTATCGGCGCTAAATCAGTTTAATGTCACGGCATGTGTTAACACTACGTTTGCTTTTATTTGTTTTTTCCTAGCTTAATTAACTAGTTTTAGATGGTGCCCATTAAAGAAATGGTTGACACCCTTCGAGTTGTGAAGGATGTTCCGGCTTTGAAGGTAAACTCCTATGTACGACTTAAGCGCACTATGTACAAAGACGATCTTGCCCAGGTATGAACCTTACAACTTTATTTTGGGAGGTTCTAATCCTTGCTATGGCACGTCCTTTTTCAGGTTGACTGGGTAGATGTTGCTCAAAGTAAAGTGAATCTTCGTATTGTTCCGCGAATTGATTACACGAGGATGAGAGGGGCTTTAAGAACGGTGGGTTTTCGTCTCCACTTCATACTGTTGTACTCTATCCGTTTTTGTTTCCCAGGATGCCGACCGTGTTCACAAAGTTAAACGCCGTCCTATGCCACGGCTTTTCGATTTGGACAGAATCAAGTGAGTTATTAATTTTCACTCGTTCATTTGTTTACGTTTATTTTCGCATAGTTTCCTATGTTTCCTTAACAGAGAAATTGGTGGCGAAGTAACAAATGACGGCGATTTCGTCATTTTTGAAGGAAACAGTTATCGCCGTGGATTCCTTTACAAGTCTTTTCCAATGAATGCAATAGTAAGTTTATTTGCAAAGTTATTTTATATACTTCAAAGTAAAAATCGCAGTTCTTGGTTTTAGATTGCAGAAGGTGTTAAACCAACTCTTGCCGAGTTGGAGCGTTTCCAGGACACAAGTGAGGACCTTAAAAGGGAATGTAGGTCACTGCTTATTCTTCTTGTTACCCACTGAAAACAGTTACCAACTACTTTGCATTTTTAAGTAGAATCCACAACTGTCAAGGACAATACGCACTTTTTCGCTCCTGGTGATAATGTGGAAGTCACTGAAGGCGAGTTGGTTAATCTACGTGGAAAAGTCGTAAGCGTTGATGGACCAAAGGTTGTGATGCTACCAGATCATGAGGATTTGAAGGTTGATAATCTCATTTACTTCTTTTACTTTATTAGTCATCCGTTGTCAAGGGAATACAGAGGGAGTATTATCTACGATGATCAAAATTTTCCATTTTTTCAGGAGCCATTGACGTTGAACATATTTGAGTTACGTAAATACTTCCGAACTGGAGATCATGTGAAAATGATTTCTGGTCGGTATGAGGGAGATACTGGTCTTATTGTTCGTGTCGAACACAACCTTGTAGTCGTGTTGAGTGACCTGAGTATGGATGAAGTGAGAGCTCACTGTTTTTACATAGGTCTTGTATTGACTCAGCTAAAACAACCTCATTTCAGATGAAAGCTCGACCTCGAGATGTACAGTTGTGCGCAGATGTAACTACGGGAGTTGATTCATTAGGACAATTCCAATTTCATGATCTTGTGCAGCTTGATCAACAGACTGTAGGTGTGATCGTCCGTCTCGAAAAGGAAACCATGGAGGTTCTGAATCAACATGGGAAAGTGAGCTGGTAAAAATGATTGTTTTGATGAACCGTATTTGTTCGTGTATTGCTTCATTTTTGTTTGTCATTTCAAAAAAACACTTTAATTGGTCATTCCTGTACTTGTGTTTCCTGAGTCTTGGATCTTATTTCCAGGTCGTTCGTGTAAAACCACAGGCAATTCAAGGTAAAAAGGACACACGTCATTCACAAGCGCTGGACAGTCAACAGAATCCTATCCAATGCAAAGACATTGTGAAAATTATCGATGGTCCTTTTGCTGTAAGTAGCTCTCGTTTGCACAAACTGGCTTTTTCGGTTTAGCAATTTTCGGTTTTTATTTATCAATTTCAAGGCGAAAAAGAATGAGGAAGAAAGACAGGGAGAAATCAAACATGTTTATCGCTCTTGGGTATTCGTGTTTTCGCGGAAGAATTTGGAAAATGGCGGTGTGATAGTTTGCAAGGCTCGCCATCTTCTGTTAATTGGAGCTCGTGTTGGTGCAGGCAGAGGTGGGGTCATCGTTCCACATTTAAACTTCTTAGAACTATCGGAAAGTAATCTTTATTTGCTTCTGTCTAGGTGATATGCCTTCATTGAATAGACTTGGTATATCGAGTCCAAATCCATTTGCTTCGCCTCGTCATAATGGCAGCGCTACTCCCGCGCACTCAAGCTCTCAGAGTGTGAGTGGTTATAGCTTTGGAGGAAAGACTCCCTCCAACCATGTAGGTGAGTCTTTTTGTGAGCTGAAGTTTTTAAATTTTGTTACAATAGCTTTTTAAAGCGTTGCTTGGTACAGTGTAGTGGAAAGAGGATGTTTTTGTTGGGTTTTTCTGAATTTTTTCTTGTATTTGAGCTATTTTTAATGATTTCTTGCTTTGCATTTTCGGACCTTAATTTAGATCGGAATTCAGTTTGGTATTTATTTCAAAACTCTTCGCAGCGTTCTTTTGGTTCTCTGAATTCAACACACTGGAGCCTATTTTCAAGTTGCAATCATTTGATTTTAGCGTTAATTTTGATCATTTAGCTGGTTTTGCTAGCACAGGAACAGCGACTGGAATCAACAAGGTTCGCAGAGACAACGCCATAATTGGGAAAAGTGTGCGTATTACTCAAGGACCTCTCAAGGTAATCCCATTTTCTTGTTGTAATTTATTTCACCCTTTGTCGAATTCAGTAAGTTTCTGTTTAGGGTTACTTTGGCATTGTAAAAGATGCTACGGAACAAACTGTTCGGGTGGAGCTTCATACGCAGTGCAAGGTTGTTGCAGCACAAATTTACTTGTCGATTTTACTTTGTTTCGTGATCTTGCGCCACTAATATGGTTAGCTTTTAGACGATTTCCGTGGACAGATCACGAATAGCGTGCGTTGGAGATGGAACACCTGGAGGGTCAATATCTGCTTTGGCACAGTTCGCGAAGACTCCTTTCGCGGCAGATGGTCGGACACCTATGTATGCTGGAAGCAAAACTCCTATGTATGGTTCTGGTGCGAAGACGCCTATGTACGGCATGGATGATGGTTTGTTGTATCGTCTTCACTTTTTTCTTAATGAACGCTCGGCACCAAAACAGCTTGTATTGTTAATGCGAAGTATGAGTTTTTGTCAATGGTTTTCGAGTATATTACGAGTTAAACATTAATGAAGCGATTTCCTACCTTAAAGACTTATATTTTAAGCATAGTGCGTTAAAGTAGTCCCATTGTTGACGATAGCAATTTAAATGTGTCGTTTTCTTCTTCAGCAATCGCGAGGTTTTTAAACAGCATACACTTACTTCCATAGAGAAACACAATACAATACAACGCTAGCTGACGTTTCGGCAGTATCGCCTTCTTCAGAGCCCGGAAGGGTATGCTGATATACAATCTACTAGGCCAAACGCTTCAATAACACTTACACAAAGACGAAAGACTCTTTGGTAATTACACGATCAACAACTTCTCGAAAAACCCACCGCTTTTTCGTGACTTCCAATGAGGAAGTTTAGAACAGCTGATTATAGTCGCATGTGGTTGACGACTGCACCATCCCACATCAAAAATCGATGCGAACGTACGGGATCAGGTCGCGTATGACCTCCGGGCATTCATCCCTGCTATTCATTGTAGGGTTTTTGGCATTGATCCAAAAAGCCTCTAGGAGTTTTCGCACTGGTGTTTTGGACTCCATGCAAGGATATTGACTTTTACTTCAAAATCGTCTCCGCTATGCTTTTGTATCCTATGCCTGTCATGCAAGTCATGCAATCACCGTCCCTGCCGTAAGGGCAAATTACGCAATTTGTTGTTTCACACAGACGGTCATACAGGCGGGTGCTAACTAATTGGCAACGTAGAGTAGACGGTGGTATTTCAACTATCGCTATCGATTCCTCTAAACCTGCCCTTCTTAAGTATCATTTTATAGCTGCGCTTACTTCATCGCTTATAAAAGGCAACATAAACGGGATTTTCTTTTGGCCAAGTGTTTCGCGTGGGCGCGTCGTTCTCCTTGTAAACTTATCTCGTGGGTTTACTATTTCGTAGCCATTGGAGATGGCTATTTGCCGAGCCAAGTCGCGTGATTCTTCCTTTACTTCCCTGGTAGTGCATAATGCATGTTCGAAACATGTTTCTCACAATCGCCCTCTTTGTGTGTGAAGGGTGGGAAGAAAGGAAATGAACAAGAATGTTCTTGTTACTTGCCTTTCGATACCATTTTGTCAGGTAACCGCTACTTGATAGGTTTATTTAAACGTCCAAAAACGGAAGCCAGTTTTTTCTTGGTTTCTCCCGGGTGAACTTTATGTGTACTCGGACTGCTTGTTCAATAATTCAAAGCATTTGTCCATCTCCTCCGGCGTAGAGAAGACGACAAAACAATCATCTACATATCTGCAGTAGAGTAGTGGCCGGAGATCGAGAACAGGGGCTTCTATCTTAGACATAAACACAATGGCCAGGCTTGGTGCCAATCGCTGTCCCATTGCCAACCCCCTTATTTGCGCGAAATATTTCCCAGACCATCTGAAAATCGAGCAGTTTAGGCACTACTTTAAGAGAGCCATTAGCTGCTGGATGGACAAGCCATGCATATTTATTCTTCCTTCATGTTCAACAGGAAGTTCGAAGATGGCTTGCATTGCGGAGTCATTCGATACGTTGGTGTACAGTGCGGTAACGTCGAAAGACTCCATCACGTACGCGTTATTAAGAGACGCGTTACGTAGACGTTCTAGGAACATTTGGGTGTTTGTACGGTGAGCTGGAATGTGGTTAAGCAACTTTTCGAGCAACGTTTTTCGAGAAGTTGTTGATCGTGTAATTACCAAAGAGTCTTTCGTCTTTGTGTAAGTGTTATTGAAGCGTTTGGCCTAGTAGATTGTATATCAGTATACCCTTCCAGGCTCTGAAGAAGGCGATACTGCCGAGACGTCAGTTAGCGTTGTATTGTATTGTGTTTTTATGGAAGTAAATGTATGCTGTTTAAAAACCTCGCGATTGCTGAACAAGAAAACGACACATTCATATTCCATTGCCGAGGTTAGGAGAAAGTTGATCCTGGGAACGATAGCAATTTAGTTTGAAATTTCAGGAGGTCGGACGCCATTTGGCTCACACACGCCCGCTTACGACAATTCTAGGACACCTATTAGTGGTCGTACTCCGGCTTACGATGGTAGTCATACACCTGCGTACGATAGTGGGCGTACACCAGCATATGATGGCGGACAAACACCTATGTACGATAGTAGTCGAACGCCGTTGTACGACACAGGTAGAACTCCGGCCTACGATGGCGGCAGGACGCCGTTGTATGAAAGCGGGCGCACTCCTGCATACGACGGAGGTAGAACTCCTGTTTATGACGAACCAGCGTCGGCTTCAGGTGCTAACGGAGGAGGAAGTAGTGATGAAGAGGTGGGTAATATCTCTTAATTACTTCAGTCGTATTGTTTGTCATTGTTGTAGTTGTAGTGATTCATGTCGAATTTTTTGTTCAAGGAGCAGGAACCACAATATGAAGCGCCGGCTTCGCCGTCGTATAGTGTGCCGACTCCTGGCACAAATCTCAACCCTCAGACACCTGGCTTTGCTCCAGAAACTCCTATGGGCATGTTTTAAGGTTTCTATTATATTGGATATCTTGGATACTTCTTGAATTTAGGTAACTACAATCCAATGACACCAGGTGGCATGTACGACTATTCCGCGCCGTCACCGTATGTCCGCAATACGTATGATTCATTCGGTGGACAAAAGATTCGTATGTTTCTCTTCTTTTTAGACTGTATTGTTTATGTTTGTCCGTCGAAAATCTTTATATCTAAAACACATTTGTGCAGCTGCTCACTTCCTCGAAGGTGGAGAATGGGTAATGGAGGATCTGTTTGTGACCATCAAGAGTAATCATGATGAGGATCGGTTCCAGGATCGTGAAGCAATCGTAACAAGTGTTCAGGTTTATTGATTTATATTCCTATATTATATTTCGCTTTGTGATTCTGTGGCATACTGTTTGATTTATTTATAATCCGTCACTCCTCTGAAGATGTTGAATAGATTTTCTTCAGGATGGAAGATGTCAAGTTTATATTCCTGACTTAAAGTGCTCTGCGACAGCCGACTTCGACCAAATCGAGCCTCTTAAGCCTCAAGAAGGCGACTTTGTATGTCAATTAAAGTATTCTTGATATAAGGATGGACTTGCAAAGAATGATGCACGATAACCGTGTTTTCGTATTATGATTATGACGTATTATTTTGTCATTTTTTAGTGATTGATTCTGATAATTTAGCTTTTTTTTTAGTTCTCTTTTTAGGTCTTGAATTGCCATCTTCTTAAACTGATTTCTGTTGTAGACTCGTGTCATCTATGGTGATGAACTCGGAGTGATAGGCCAGCTGATATCAGTGGATGAAGCTGACTGTGTCATCAAGGTTGGAGTTGACGACATGCGGTTAAGTCCGCTGGAGTTCTGTTGCAAGTTTAGTAAACGGTGAAGTTCCACTAAGGAGTTTTTTCGATTGTAAATATAAGTTGTCCGCATAGATGTTTTGCGTTGTTTGGTGGGTAATAAAAAGTTACTTGTGTTACTGTGGATGTGGATTATTTATTTACCATAGATTTTGCTTCTAAAGCTTGAGCCTCTATGGCCCGCATAGGTATGGATGATGTGACCACTGTCTAATACTATGGTCCATTACGCAAATACATTTCTGTCAGTACTTCGAAGTATTTGCCCATATTTTGAGTCTATTTCGGTGTTCTTTTAATATTTTCACATTCTTTACAATCACCATAAAAAGATAAAGGATAAAGCTGTCGGCGTTGATCAATCCCTTTGGGATGCGGCGTGCATTCGACTTCATTAATCATCGTTTGTAGACGAAGGAATGCATAGCCCCACTAAATTGAATGTGGATGCTATAGTTGTCGTTTGCTCCATACCGCTATGAACGCTGTAATGTTCATACGGGGCGTAATGAGTTAAGGTCGAGGGCGCCATCATTTGCGCGTAGAAAGCATTACATTCAGCGCAACACGGTTGTTATATGTTGACAATTATTCTGTCAGAAGGCACTTAGGCTACAATAAAGTGGATGGATACTTACTAATTCTATTATGAGGGAACATTTAGTACCGTGACATTATCGTGCAAAAACTGCCATGGTAGTACATTCCACTCTTGAGATTTTTCATAGGAAATTGGTTGTAAGAGATAAAGCGCGGATAGAAAGCTAGGTAGGCTGTGATATCGAAGAGCAGGAATAATGATGAGGTTTGGAACCATGTGGCGAGATACGGTGAGTCAGTATTTTGTGTTTTGGAAATACACTCTAGCCTTGGAAGAAAAATGAGCGGAACGATGGCGCAATCGCATTAAAGATGGTTGGGGATATGGCGTCATAGAATAGTGTACTTCTTAACTAGTTTGGCTGCAAATATTGCGTGGGAGCCGCAAACGATGACGGAAGGATCACCGAACGCACTTGATAGTGAAATCCTTTGTTGACGAAGTGCGTCTGACTTTACTTTTTTCATGGCACAGCTGCTATGAGAAAAAATTGACGGAAAGGGCTGGTGGAAGTGATGACACTGTGATTTTGCTTTAGCTTCAACTTGACAAAGTTGGATATAGATTTATTTTTCAAATCATTCATGTTGACGTGTGACTGTTGAAGGAAGCGTTAGAGTAAAAACTTCTCGAGAGGAAAGGGAAGTGAAGGCATCGGTTGGTGTAGTGGATAACACGTAAGCCGCTGAAATAGGGAATTGTGGTTGTTTTTGGCAAATTCGAATTCGCTATTGACTTCGAAGTTGATTGGATGAGTGTGGTCTCAGTTTCACTGTACGCTATAGTGTAGATGGACTTTCTTCTCCAATGCAAACGAGTTTACCTCTCTTCACACCTATAGTTGAAATTGGTGGAGGTTGTTATTTGAAGCACTTTTACATCCCCTAATGTCAAAAAACGACTGTTGACGTCCATGTAGGTAGTTGACAGCTTTTCCTGTAATGGCTCGTTGTTTGCGCTGTATGCCTTTAGTTCCTCTGCTTCGACAAGATATGCTGGGAATTCGTATAGTATTCTTTTGAAACACTTTTTTGTTAATGTTTCCACTCCTTTTGTTAGCACTCTCTGATTTCCTAGTTAGAGAGCTCGACAATGCCGTAACCAACTTTTTCCTTGATTATCACTGGATGTTTGGTTGGATACTCCTCGAGGTCCCGCAACCATCTATAAACCTGCTTATTCCGTGTAACGTGAGACAGTGGTTGCCTGGTAGGTGAATCAAGAGTCAAAAAGGCATCGTAGTAAGTACGAATTTACTTATAAAATCTGCTAAAGTCGTAATTTATTGGAACTGGAATGCTGCACTTTATATTAGTCACTGAGTAGTGGTTTTTAGCGCAGTTTTATGTTTAATATGGCTTATGAAGTGTTGAGAGGTCGGCTCAAGCGTGTAGAATCACTGGCTTCACATTTCCGTTCCTAGTCAGGCTGTCCATCAAGGGAAATCGACCGACAGAAGTACTGATGGGGATGAGCCAAACTTATGCTTTGGTTGATCCATCAACTCGTGCAGATGTGATCTGACGCCTGCTACTGAGAACAGTTTGTAAATAGTGGATTTCTAAATTCTAAATGGGATTAACGTTCCTTCTTTGTGTTCCGAAAACTCCACATAATCATTATTCCACTAAGTACGCTGGTTCCCGCCCCAGTTCTTCTTCGTTTCTGCTCGGTGTTATGCAAAAAATTCTTGACATTTCCCATTTTTCTCTTGAATATATACGAGAATGAGCAGCCATATACGAGAGTGAGTCAGTATTGATCTTTATCCATAAAAGTATTATTTGGCTACGAAATCGTTTCGTATTGGGTGGCATTTCGTGTTACTATGGAAAACGAATGGAAAATGGTCCGTTTGGAATTTGAATGAGAATTTGTTAACACCAAAAACGTAGTGGCAAGTGACGACCTAAAAATTGAATGTCTCCAAAAAATTATGGACTAAGACACATGGATCACACACAGAAGACTTCAGAAGGTGCGATATGCAGGGTACCTGCTTGCGGCGATTAGTTCATGAATACCTTCCCATTTGAGTTTTAGAATTGCCTAGGTTTTCTTTTACGCATTACATGTCCGGCACACTTTCAACAGTTTTGCGTATAGAATGGCGCCTCTGATTTTTGATCGCTCACATACGTCGGAGCTTCAGATCTCTTCACTGACCTGTGTGGCACGGGATACTCCTAGCACCTTCACTTCAAATGCGCTTTGTATAGCGTTGAGTAGTCTATCATCTTGCTTACGCAGTGACGAGGTTTCTCACGCAGATGTTAAGCCAAGAAGAATCGTAGGGACAAAAGTCTAAGCACGGAGTGTGGTGTTCTTTGTTCTGCTCACTACATCCTCAACGCTCTAGGAAGCTCCCCAACCAACGCTTTCTCCTCTCCACCTTCTAGAACGAAGTCATTGATCATGTTGACTCTCTAGCTGGAGCATTCAGATATATTCATGATGTTGAGCTCAGTTAGGGCAGACGAAACCACTCCGTTCATTAGAATCCATTTTGTGAGTTTTCGTGGAAGAGCAGTCTTTACAAGCGTGTTATAAAAGTCGGCTAGCATTCGTTCCGCCTGCTAATGCTTATTATTGCTGTAATTGACGACGCTTTTCACTCCCCTGTTCTTCCATTCCAGCGTGTACCACGTTCCTGGGGATGGCGGTAAATATTTTTGGCGAGATGGTATCACCTTACTTAACTCCTCTTTTGACGTTGTTGTTAATATCGTTTTAAAACGGCGATATCATGGTCGCTAAATTTTTATATAACTCACGAAGAATTTTTATATGAGCAGGGACGCCGTGGCTACCCATAGCTTTCTTCAACAGTGCTTCAACAGCTTTCAACAACAGTGTAGGTAATAGGTAGGTTCTCAACTAATCCCTTAAGGTTTTCTGAAACCGTTGATAGTGAGGTAGAGCGGTTTCTTGTACTCTTGCGATACTTCAGTGACTCTTGTTATCGTGTGGATGTGGTCCACCGTACTAAATCCTTTTCGAAGCCTTGCTTGCACACATGGGCGTCATCCACTGTTCTACCAGTCGTATTTAGTATGACTCGAGTGAAAAGCTTGTAGAGGACAGACAGCAATCAGATTGGGCGATGGCTGCCGGAATCATAAAGGTGGTCCTTCTCGAACAGTGATACAGTATTGCTGGTCCACTGAATATAAACCTTGCATTTCAGTAGGTAATATGTGAAGAGCCGAATGTTTTGAGGACAGGCGGAACGTTCTTCAGATGTTCAGATCTTATCCTGAGCGGACCTGGTGTTGTTCAATTGCTCACTGATGAAATACAATGTTGATTTTCGCAAGGCATAGCCAGTGCAACGACGTGCCCATTCTTGCTTACTTCGTATTGGGGCCGAGGAGTTTACTATTGAGGAGATCGGAGTAATAATCGTGAATGGTTTTATCCACAGCTTTTCTGGAATCTGTAACATTTCCGTCTGGGCTTCGAAATGCACACAGCTTGGTTTTGTAATTGGCGAACTTCGGTGGCCATTGCGAACGCTTTTCCTGGCCTCTGCACCTTCGACTATAACGACCGCTCTTCTCTTTCTAGAGACAGACGTCTCATGGTGAATTTCGAACTTTCGGCTTTCATAACGTTATTGTGAAAGTGTTAAATGAGCCGATCGTATTCCTTATCGATGTTATTCGATTCGTATTCCCGAGAAGGGTATCTTCCCAGCAGCCAACTAATGAACTAAAATAAATAAATAAGACTAAATAAATCCTTGTTGATTCTTGTTGATCTGTTGATTCTGTTGATAAATCCTTGTTGATTCTTGTTGATCTTCTCTGTAAAAGTTCTCCAAGTCTATATAGAGCGTTTCGACTTCGTGCTAGTCACAGCTTGATGTCGTTGCATAGATGACGAGTAATGTCAAAGCTGTTATTGATCCACTTCTCTTCATCCATAAACGTCCATTTCGTCCCATTCGGGTTGTTAGTTTCTCGAATGAATCGATGTTCCTGGCCAAATTCGTAATGACGAGAACGCAGACGCAGCCGACTCCTCTATTGTAGCATGTTCCGACGAGCATTTCTTCAGTGTCATAGCCGACGTTGAATGAGCGGCACCTTCTCGTGTAACGCAGCCCGATGACGTCATGCCACCTTGCATGATCAAGTCCTGTATGGAGGATTCAGATGAGAGTGAGCGTTCATTGTAGGTACAGATCGTTACCTTAGTCCTTTGTGATTTAGGCACCCCAGAATAGCCCTGAGATTTTCGCAGAATCTCCGTACTCGTCCTGTCCGACGTCCACGTATCAGGGGCTGTTCCATGATCAGTGGTGTTTAGCGTTTGATACTCGTCTATAACTTGCTGAGTTCTGAACATCAGGGCTAGATATACCTATGGGTAGCTTGTTAGCCTCTCCTAGAGTAAACGAGGTGCTATTTGTTGGAGGCGAGT